AGAGATCTGAAGCGTATGATTGGAAAGAGTTCCCCAGCAGATTTTGATGCCTATCATGGTTAGAATCATTTTTTAATGGATCTTCACTTTCTAGGGAATAAACTTCCAACTCTTTATTAAATTTGGCAGAGAGCTCTAGGACTTCACCTTGGTTTGCTTTCAAGGCTTATTCACCTACATTCTTCTTGATTTATGTTGCATTTTGATCAGTTTACTGTGCATACTTATTCTCTCCTGCAAATGGAGTGATGACACCTTTCTAATAATATTGCTTCAAGGGTTAGAAATCAAGTGCGCAACGTAGAGTCTGCTGCTCAATCTCCAATATTAGTATTAAGTCCTCAATAAATATTCATCAACATGAATGAACAAATAATGTAGAAATCTGCTTCAAGAAAGAATGAGTGAACCTTCCCATTAAAGAGGCTTGAGGACCTGGCCTCCGGGAAGCTTTGGAAGAATCCCTATGCCTCTAGACCTTTTTTCAAATCAAAAGTGGTTTCTTTAGGTAAGATTTAAAAAGTCTTATTGCTTTAGAGTCATAGTTTAGACCTGGTACTTGAAATGGCCAAGAGCAATAGGAGATGGAAGCTTAAAACATTGTAAAGAATGTTGTGCTGTATTGTTTTTGAACAAGAGGATAATGACTCTAGAGCATATGGGCTTAGGATTGCTCTCTCAGTCTCTCCTTATGGGAACTATTTTCAAGGTTTAGATAATTTGAACAGCTGTTGGACAGAGTCGGAGCAGATGTTAAATTTATAGTGAGATAGTAGCCTTTACTGGTATGACTGATGGAAACTGTGAATTGCAAATTCTATGGGATGCAAAGAAGAATAACAAACATTTCATTATTTATTTTGTTCATTAGTACATGTGTATAATACATAATGTTTACATTTCTTGTGGGAAGTTGGTACAGGAACATAGCACATTTTTTTTTTTTGGTACTGGGGATCAAACTCAGGACCTTGTGCTTTCAAGGCTGGTGCAGCGTCACTGAGCTAAATCCCTGGCCCTACATAACATATCTTAATTTCTCTTTTCATCCGCTTTCCTTCCCTCTCCCCTCCACCCATCTCTTCAACCTTTTCTTCTTCTTTTGTACATGTTTTCAGTACATAATGTTTACATTCCTTGTGTGGAGTTGGCATATGCACATAACACATCCCAATTCCTTTTTTCAGCCCTTACTTCTTCCCTCCTCCATAACTTGGTCTCCTTCCCCTTTGAAAATGATCTATCTCCCTACTTCCTATTACTTATCTTTTATTTTGCTCTTTATTTTTACTCTGGGTTTCTCATATAAGAGAAACCATGTACAAACACTTTAAAGAGTCCCCTGACTGACCAGGACTGGGAAATACTAGATGAAATCCAGTTATGTAGATATTTTGTTTTTAACTGTGTTTTAAATTCTAAGTTTTAAAATGTGAATAACTATTTTGACTCTCCTACACCCCGTGGAAAATTCTACACCCTGTAGAAAGGGTATTTATTGAACCATGGGGCTTTTGTTTTCTTTCTTGTCTTAGGGGGTCAGGATTTAGGGAAACACTGATATGAGGATTCTGACAGGACTTCTTAAGCCAGACTGCATCATCGAATCTCCTGTGGCGGAGAGAGAGAGAGAGAGACAGAGAGAGAGACAGAGAGAGAGGAAGAAGAAGGAGGAGGAGAGGAGGAGGAGAGGAGGAGGAGGAGGGTTGGGGGGAGAAAGGTGGACTGAGGAAGGGTGAGGGAGGGAGACAGAAACAGAGACAGAGGCAGAGACAGAGAGAGTTTTCTGGACTCCTCCCCAGAATCTCCAGCAGACTGGCAATTCCAACTCTGGATTTTAAAAAGCTCTACTGGAGATTCTGTTGTAGAAACAGAGCAGACAACCACCCATTATGAGCATGGCTTTGGGTTCAAGTCCAGCTGCCACACGTAATCACTATATTATTTTTGTAAAGTGACTTCATTGAGTTGCCTTAGTTTTATCATCTGTAGAACAGGAAATCATATATATTTTTTGGTCCAAAAGATTTAAATGAAATAAAACAATCAGCATGTAGCAGGGTTCATTTCCAAGCTGTAATCCTCGGGAATGTCAATAAAAATACAAATAGTAAAGTTCCCTCAATCTTTTTTTTTTTTTTTTTGGACTGGGGATCGAACTTGGGTCCTTCTGCTTTTGAGGCAGGTGCCGGAACGACTGAGCTAAATCCCTGGCCCCCCTAATTCTTTTTTAGGCCCCTATGCCAATAATTTTTGCTCATTTCAAAAAAAAAAAATTGTGGATTTCTATGCTTGTATCACTTAGAACCTTCAGTGTACTTAGAGCAAACCTTCATTGTATTTATAGCACCAGGCCATTAGCAAAGATGAATATACAGATACTCGACAACCATACGCTATCTCTTTCCACTTGATCTTAGCCAAAAGGCCAAGAAGCCTGATTACATCCCATGTCTTTTAGAAAAAGTTCCTGTTTTTTGAACTCTTTATAATCTCTACTTTCCAATAGACCACCTAAGCTGGCCCCAAAAACTGAAACCTGTGTTTAGGGCCTGAAAGAAATGATGTCACTGTGGGTGTGTGTTACACACTGTGCAAAGGTCCATCATTTGGCCAGTAGCAGTTCCAGCACTTCTGCTGAGGAGGAGTTACTCAAAATATAAACCTCAAAGGTGTTTCTATTTCTATAAGAGCAGATGTAATGGGACTTTTATAGGCATCCTAACATTTGGTGTCTTCATGCTCCTTTTCCTTCTTAATAATCCCTTCACTGTCTCGTTCCATTAAATAAAATCTGTAACATTTAGGGTGTGTGCAGGGAGGGGGCACAGAGCCTCCAGGGAGATATGTATGTGTACACTGACTGTGGCCCAGAGAAGTGCCTGTGTGTGTGAATGAAATGGTACAGATAATTCTAGTCTTATAAATGGATATTATTACAGAGTTCATTGGTAAGTCAGCAGTTTGGAACTTGGAACACACTTTCTCATAAAAGGAATGTTCTGCTTGGTGGACAGAGTCCCAGCCCAGCCCACAAGAGTCTGCTTAACTCCTACTGCACCTGGAGCAGAATTGTTCCTTTTTATTTTTAACAGGAGAACAATGTTTCCATGGAAACAAATTTTCAGAGTTCTACTGTTTAAGAATGAGAACCACCAACTATCAAATTTTAACTAGACTCCTAAATTACTTCCCCTTTATTCCTTTAATAAATTACCAAGAAGAGGAGTTATTCATACCTCTAATTATTTCTTGAATATATTAAGTTAAAATAATATTTTTTCTCTACTTGTTTTATGTACTTTAAACTTAAATGAAAGGGATACATAGAACAAGGACAAATTTTTCTAAACACTCATGTCTTTCTCCAGACTCAATTTCTTGTCCACTGTTTCCTGGCTGCTCTTCTTGTACTCCAGAGCCAGACAAACTAACTTCAGGGGAGGGGACAATCACGAGTATGTTTGGTTTTACATCAAAATTGTACATTTGTTTCTTTTTTCTTTTTTTTCCCTTAAATTCTTTTATTGGTACATTTTACGTATACAATACATTTACATTTCTCATTGGGAACTTGTACCTACCTTTACATGATGGATCTTGGTTCTTATTTTTTCCCCATTCCCTGCCCCCCGCTTCACCCTGCCACCCTTCCCTATTTACAAAGACTTTGTTTCTGTTTTTTCCATTTCAAAGGTGTTATTTCCCTAATTTCTTAGTTAGTGAGTTTATTTGCTTACAGAAATGCTACAGAATTTTTTTTTTGGTACCAGGGATTGAACTCAGGTCCTTCCGCTTTCAAGGAAGGCGGCGGAACCACTGAGTTAAATCCCGGGCCCTGTTTCTTTTTTCTATCTTATCTCTACTTTTGCCTTAGGTTTTAAAAACTTGTCTAATAATTTAATAGAAATCTGCAATAACTAAGTAATGAAACATATTTTAGGTCACACCAACCACAGGAACCAGAAATGACTCAACTACATAATACACAGATTATGCTAGAGGTTCTGTAAATATATCAAATAATCATAGGGCTGGAAAGAAGCTACAAAGATTGTCTAGTCTGTTCCCTGGCTTCCAGACAAGCCAACCATTCCAAACAGATGAGAGCTAACCTATATTTTAGAGAAGAGAAACTTTGTCTTTAACCCTTTCTGGATCAAACAATCTATATACCATTGGTAAACTGTTGTCAATATTTCATCTACATTTCTCCATGCACAATTACAACTGTAAAAATTTTACTTTTGCATGTTTAGAATAGGACAAATGGGGCTGGGGATTTAGCTCAGTGGTTCTGCTGCCTGCCTTGCAAGCGCAAGGACCAGAGTTCGATCCTTGGTACCAAAAAAAAAAAAAAAAAAAAAAAAAATAGGACAAATGGGGCTGGGGATTTAGCTCAGTGGTTCTGCTGCCTGCCTTGCAAGCGCAAGGACCAGAGTTCGATCCTTGGTACCAAAAAAAAAAAAAAAAAAAAAATAGGACAAATGTAGGTTAATCTGTATAAAATCCCACAACATAATTACATATTATATTTTGCGTTCTCTTCTCTAGGACATTCCTGAATATCCTAATGTCCACTCCTTCTGTTATCCTTTGTTTTATGCTCTCTGGGTTTCTTGGACCTTCTTCAATAGTAGAAATTAAAATCTAGCAACTGTGTCTTATGAAAACTAAGTATGGTTTCCATTGATAGAGATATTTAAGAATAATCAGATGAGTAAGTTCTAAGACTTAAATGCAGGGGAAAGCCAAATTTAAGAATTATAATAAAATTATAACATAGGCTATTTATTTATCGTTACTTTCTTTCTGGTAGTTAAAAGGGCATAACTACCCTAATCATATTTGCTCTTCTATCAAGTAAGGAAACTAATAAGAATCTATCCCTGTTAAACAATGTTAGGCATAAAATGTGATAACTTTAAAGGCCACCAACTGTATTTTATTCAAATGAATTGAAGCAAAATAGACTTTAAGGATGACAAAAGTCCACTTACTTGTTCATTTTTAGTAAGCCTGGTTTTGTTGTGAATGTCTGATGTGACCAAATTGAATCCATGCTTCTCTGACAAGATTCTCAGAAGCAAGACCACAGTGCGACTCCCACACTTGCCGACCCTATTGTACACCACCTGGCTGGGGAAAGGAAGGACCTGTGAGAAGAACAGAGAGAAAGTATGAATCGTTGGGATTAAAACATAGTGCTTTCCTTATTTTAGAAGAAGGAATATATATCTCCACATCATAACTCAAGACAGAATCGTTCTATGTGCACCACTACATAATACTGGCAGTTTCATGCAGACTATAAGGTTGATTACAAACCTTCTTTTGTTTCTTCAAAGAATACATTATATAAAAATATGCACCTTGAATTACCAAAGTTGAACCAAGAAGATTTAAAAATTCTAAATAACCCAATGTCAATCAATGAAATTGAAAAAGTAATTAAAAATTTACCAACAAAGAAAAGCCCAGGTCCTAATGGCGTTACTGCTGAATTCTACAAGAAATTAAGGGAAGAGCTAATGTAACTACTTCTCAAATGCTTTAATGAAACTGAAAAGGAAGCAATACTTCCATATTCATTCCTGGAAGCAACCATTACCTTGATCCCGAAAGCAGAGAAAGACTCAACCAAAAAAGAGAATTACAGGCCAATCTCGCTAAGGAACATAGATCCAAAAATCCTCAATAAGATACTGGCAAATAGAATATAGAGGATAATCAAGAAGTTCATATACCCTGACCAAGTTGGATTCATCCCAGGGATGCAAGGACAGTTCACCACATGTAAATCAATAAGTTTAATGGACTATACTAACAGAGTCAAGGACAAAAACCATATGATCATCACAATAGATGCAGAAAAAGCATTTGACAAAGTCCAACACCCATTCATGATAAAAACTCTACAGAAAATTGGAATAGAAGGTCTTTATCTCAACTTGATTAAGGCTATCTATGAAAAACCAATAGCCAACATCACACTAAAGGCTCAAAAACTGAAATCTTTCACACTAAAATCAGGAATACGACAAGGATGTCCATTATCACCACTCCTGTTCAATATAGTCCTGGAAACAGTAGTGACAGCAATTAGACAAGAAAAATAAATAAAAGGAATAAAGATAGGAAAGGAAGAAGTTAAAGAATCATTTGCAGATGCCATGATACACTATATAGAAGAACCCCAAAACTCCACCAAGAGACTCCTAGACTTAATAGTCAGATTCAGTAGAGTAGTTGGATACAAGGCATACAGTCAAAAATCAATAACCTTCTTGTACATGAACAACAGACTCACTGAGAGAGAAATTATGGAAACAATTCCTTTCACAATAGCATCCCCCAAAATGAAATGTCTAGGAACCAATCTAATGAAAGAAGTAAAAGACCTCTACTTTGAAAACTACAGCACTCTGAAAAAAAGAGATTGAAGAGGATACCAGAAAATGGAAAGACATCCCTTGTTCCTGGTTAGGAAGTACCAATATAGTGAAAATGGCCATACTTCCAAAACTGCTATATAGATTCAATGTAACCCTGATTGAAATCCCAACAGCATATTTTGCAGAACTAGAGAAAATAATCCAAAAATTCATTTGGAACAAGAAGATACCCATAATAGCAAAAGCAATTCTAAGCAATAAAGACAAGGCAAGGGGTATCACAATCCCCAACTTGAAACTATACTACAAAGCTACTGTGATGAAAACAGCATGGTACTGTCAAAGAAACAGACCCAAGGATCAATGGAGCAGATTTGAAGACACAGAAACAAATCCAGATACACTCAGCCACTTCATCTTTGACAAAGGATCCAAACACCCTCACTGGAGGAAAGACAGCCTCTTTAATAAACGGTGCTAGTAAAACTGGGTCTCAATTTGCCAAAGATTAAAATTAGACCAACATCTTTCACCATGGTCTAAACTAAAATCAAAATGGATCAAAGATCTAAATACGAAAACAGAAACACTAAGCCTGCTGGAAGACAGGTTAGGTAGAACTCTTGAAGACAGTGGTGTAGGAAAAGTCTATGAACAAAACCTCAGTCACACAGGAACTAGCACAAAGAATCAACAACTGGGATTTCATCTTATTAAAAAGCTTTTGCACAGAAAGAGAAACCAACAGACTGAAGAGACAACCCACAATGTGGAAAAAAAATTTCACCAGCTGTTCCTCAGACAAAGGACTACTATCTAGAATATATAAAGAACTTAAAAAAATCAGAACCAAATTTAAAGACCCAATCCAAAAATAGGCTTCTGAAATGAACAGACATTTCTGAGATGAAGAAGTAGAATCAGCAAATAAACATATGAAAAAATGTTCAACATCACTGGTCATTCGAGAGATGCAGATGAAAACAACACTGAGCTTTCATCTCATGCCAGAAAGAATGGCTGCTATCAAGAAATCAACCGGGGCAACCCACTTTCCAGGCCCCCTTCTGTCTCTCTTAGGCAGAAGCTTTCTTTCTCCCAATAAATTTTCCCTACTCTTAACCTCCATTGTTCCTAGAATTAATTCTTCAATTTTAGAGAAGAAGAACTCGCATTTCGGATATCTGGTAGGTTTGGGAGTTACATCTTTTCCCCCCTATATCATTTTGGAGGTCTTCCACCGAGATTACTGGTTAGAGCTAAGAGTTTGCTTTTGTTCCATAGGTTCTAACTTTGGTTTTTTTGCTTCATAGATTGTTACTATTAATTTCATAGGCTCTGGCTATTTGTTTCATAGATTCTGGTTTTTGATTCATAAATTCTGGCCTTTGCTTTGGGTTTTGTTTCAAAAGTGTTTTAATTTTAAGTTGTGTTTTAAATGTTTGCAAATTTCTTGCTTTTCTTATGCATTGTCTTTTGTTAAATTTACATTTTATTCTTGTTTTGTATATGTTGCATTTGGACTTAGTTGCTTAAAAATGTTGTAAAATGGGTCTCTTATGAAATCATCTCAAATAAAGACAGTTCAGGCTTTTATCTGTCCCTTATAGAATGCCAAACAGTGGTTACTCTGCCAGTTAGTAATTGCCTTTAGGGCAGCTGCCACTCTCAGAGCAGAGGACAGGTTTCTCCAGTTGCCCTCTGGTGAATCCTACTCCCATTGACACCAATGGCAGGTGGAACGCTGACCAGATAGGCAATTGGGTTCCTTTCAGAGACAGATCTCTGATTGCGTGGAACTAGCAGAAACTGAGGTGACAACTGAGGGGTCATGGCCAGGGCTACTCTCTGGCAGATACCCAAAGGTCATTCAGAAAAAACTAGCTCCCGACAGTCCATCTGGGTAACCAGCAGAAAATCTCCACATCTTGTCCCTAATTGGACTCCTCAGAGAGGTGAAAGGGGAACTCTGTCAGTGATCATCAGAAATCCTCTGTCTCAGAATCATCTTTCTTAAGCCTCCATTAAGCATTGAGCTACAGGTTTGGACTGCTTTCTCTACTACTAGTAAGACAGACATCTAGACAAATGTCAAAACAAATATTTGATAGAGTAAAAGGTATCTGAACCTTTTCTCCCCCTAGACATAGTCTACATCATTTATATGTGTAGGGGAAAAAATACCTTTGCTGACAGGTTACGGACTTTGGAACATTGACAGTGGACTTATAAAATGCAATATGGTGATTTTTTGGGATGTTTAACCAGCTTGAGCTTTGTTTGGACTTTTTATCTCTGCTAGTGAGTTAAAAACTCCCCTTAAACTTTTCTCCAACTTGTTGGGGGTTCATTTGAGAATGCCTTGTAGTCAGACTGCTATTCCTTCCAGAAGGTTAGACTAAGGCAACTTGCAACAACTGTTTTGTCTTGCACTAGGGAAAATAACAATCAGTAACTTGCATTTGTGTTTTTACATGCTAACTAGAATATGGGACTATCTTAGCTAGCCTTTCCCTTCATTCATGCATGCAGAGGAAGCCCATAGGAGTGCCTTTACTATGTAGCTTGTGGTTGCTAGGAGGATCTATGAGTTTCAAATACTTAGTGAATTTTAAATGGACCTTAAAGGAGTAGCCTTGTATTGCTGCTACTAAAAGTTGCCTAAATGCCTGGACAGACAACAGAAATTTCTCAGAGCCTTCTCTGCCCTAGGGCCCAGGGGCAAATCTCTGAACAATCTCTGGAGGTGATCTCTTTTGCAGGAAAAGTGCCCTAATTTGACTGTTGACCTATTTTCTTCTTTCTTTCAAGGAACTAGAAAGCAGTGGTTTAAAGCTCTTGGTTTGCTAGCAACACTTCCTTCTCTAAACAAGATTGTTATGGTTAAAGCCAATTGTAACTTGTGCTTTGAGAGTACCTACTGAAGTATGGATATGAGTTACCTGAGGAAGATAAGATAAGATTGAGTGCTGGTAAAGGGTAGATAGTCCAGTCAGCTTTTATTTGCTGGTTCTCTCTCCAGATGGTAGCTACCTACCCTGGAGCTGTATAAACCTTGGGGGACACCCTGGGGAAGCCCTAGTGGGCACAGGAATCAAGCAGAGGCTTATGGGACACCATATTTGTTTCTCTTGTTTCAGTTTAGGAGCTCCATATCTGAACCTCTTACTCCTTTGGAATGTATTAAGGAACAATTTAGTATTTCTCTACACCTGAGCGTGGTGTGCCTACCTCCTAAAGCCAAGTACACAGAGGAAAGTATTATGATGCTATCTCACAATTAGAATTATACTGTAAGAGAGAAAAAATGGTCAAAACCATCTTATGTTGAGATTTTCTTTACATTAAGAAGTAATTCTTGCTTGTGTTCAAATGTAAAGGTGGGCCATAGAAAAATGAGAGACACCTCACCCTTAAGACACTCAGAGTACCTCTAGGCCTGAGGCTACTCCTTGCCCTAACTACCAGGTGCTGAGGGTGGAGTTTCTAGGCCAGGCATAATTAATCTCTATGAGGTTATATCCATCCTTAGCTAAGTTGTTCAGGTCCCTCAAAAACAATATCCCTTCCAGAAAGTAAATGGTAAATATGGGACTACCTGTGTTCATGTGTCTTTTTCTCTCAGTGATCTAAGACAGATCAAATGAGACCTAAAAAAGTTTTCAGATGATTCTGATATGAACATTGAGATCTTTTGAGAATTTACTCACACCTATGGACTAGATTAGAAAGGTGTAATGTTGCTCTTAAATCTAACATTG